TTTCTTTCTAATTTTAGTAGAGACGGGGTCTCGCTCTTGTTCAGGCTGGTTTCGAACTCCTGAGCTCAAACAATCCGCCCGCCTCGGCCTCCCAGTCCCTCTGTGATTTAAGAACAAGATGAGGGTGTCTTCTCTCTCCACTTCTACCCAACATCGTACTGGAGGGTCCAGCCAATTAGGCAAGAAAAAGAAAATAAAAACATTCACAATGGAAAGGAAGACAGCAATCTCTGCTTGCAGATGACATGATCTTATATGCAGAAAATCCTACACAAGCCACAGAAAAACCTATGAGAGCTAGTAAATGAGTTATAAGGTTGTAGGCTATAAGATCGATACATAAAAAATCAACTTTATTCTTACACATTAGCAAACGAACAATCTGAAAATGAAATTAAGGAAGCAACCCTACTGACCGCAGCAGCAAAAATGACGGAAACATTCAGGAATAAATTTAACGAAAGCAGCGTAAGATCTGCACACTGGAAAACTGTAACGCGCTGCTGAAAGAAACTCGAAACATCCTGAACCGATGGAAAGACGTCCGTGTCCGCGGCTGAGGAGATCTAACACAGAGAAAGGGCAGCCTTCCCCAGATCCATCCCCAGAGGCCACGTCACCCGGATCCAAATCCCAGGGGCCTTTCTTTGCATCAACTGACAAACTGACCCTAAAATTCACATGGAAATACGAGGAACCCCGAGAGGCCCAAGCAATCGTGAAAAGGAAGAGCAAGGTTGGAGGAATCACGGTTGCTGGTTTCAGAACTTATCACAAAGCTACAGTCATCAGACGGCATGCGATCCAGCAACCCCCTCTCTGGGTATTCACCCGGAAGATCTGAGATCGGTTTGTGGGGGACGTCTGTACTCTCACGCTCCCTGCAGCCAGGTTACGGAATCAGCCTATTCATCGACGGATAAAAAAAAAAAAACGTGGTGTATACACCCAGTGAAATACTGCTCGCCCTTACCAAGGAAGGAAACTTTGTCATTGGGGACGACGCCCATGGAATCGGAGAACGTCACGCTGAGTGCAATAAGCCAGGCACGGAAAGACCGACACCGCGTGTTTCCGCTCACACGTGGAATCTCAAAGAATCAGACTCCCCGACGCAGAGTAAAACGAGGGTACACAGGCTTGGGGGCAGGGAGAATCCCCGGGAGATGGCGGTCAAAGAGCACAAAACCTCAGACAAGAAGAATAACGTGTCTTTGAGGCCTCCCGCGCACTCCAGCGAATACAGTTGAATACAGTTGAATACAGTTGATAACAGTGTGTCGTACACTTCGGAATTGCTAGGAGTAAATCTCGAATGTCCTCACCACAAAAATGAGTGCTTGAGGTGACCGACACGTTAGTGAGCTTGAATTGATTATTCTGCATTGTGTTCATAAATCACAACGTCACTCTGCACCCTGTAAACACACACAGTTATAAATTGTCCATTTACAATAGCAAACCAACAAGCGAGGTGCTGGCATAAAGACAGACACACAGGCC